TTGTAGTTTTTTGAGGAACCTCCATACTGTTCTCCATAGTGGCTATACTAGTTTACATTCTCACCTACAGTATATAAGTGTTCCCTTTTCAGCTGGGCGCGGTGGCTCACACCTGTAATCCTAGCACTTTGGGATGCCGAAGTGGGCGGATCACGAGGTCAGGAATTCGAGACTAGCCTGGCCAATATGGTGAAACCCTGTCTCTACTAATACAAAAATTAGCCGGGCTTGGTGGTGCGCACCTGTACTCCCACCTACTTGGGAGACTGAGGCAGAAGAATTGCTTGAACCCAGCAGGTTGCAGTGAGCCGAGATGGCGCCATTGCACTCCAGCCTGGGCAACAGTGAGATTCCATCTCAATAAAAATAAAAATAAAATAAAAAAGTGTTCCTTTTTCTCTGCTTCCTTGCCAGCATGTTTATTTATTTATTTATTTTTGTCTTTTTGACAATAGCCACCTACCTAACGAGTAAGATGACACCTCATTGTGATTTTCATTTACATTTTCCTGATAGTGATGTTGAGCATTTTTTCATATATTTGTTAGCCATTTGTATGTCTTCTTTTGAGAAATGTCTATTCAGAGAATTTGCTCCCCCTACTTTTTTTTTTGAGACAGATCTCACTCTGTCACCCAGGCTGGAGTACAGTGGTGGGATCTCAGCTCACTGAAACCGCTGCCTCCCAGGCTCAAGCCATCCTCTCAGTGCAGCCTCCAGAGTAGCTGGGACTCCAGGCACACACCACCATGCTTGGCTAATTTTGTGTAGAGACAGGATTTCACCATGTTGCCCAGGCTGATGTTAAATTCCTGGACTGAAGCCATCTGCCCGCCTCAGCTTCCCAAAGTTGCCCCTTTTTTAATTGGATTTTTTGTTTGTTTTTTGCTGTTGAGATGTTTGAGTTCTATGTATATTCTGCGTATTAACCCCCTGTCAGATAGTTTGCACATATTTTTTGTAATATTTGTAATCCCATTCTTTTTTTTTTTTTTTTTTTTTTTGACATGGAGTCTTACTCTATCACCCAGTCAGGAGTGCAGTGGTACAGTCTTGGCTCACTGCAACCACCACCTCGCGGGTTCAAGCGATTCTCCTGCCTCAGCCTCCTGAGTAACTGGGATTATAGGTGTATGTCACCATGCCCAGCTAATTTTGTACTTTTAGTAGAGATGGGGTTTCACCATGTTGGTCAGGCTGGTCTTGAACTCCTGATCTCAAGTGATCTGACTGCCTTGGCCTCCCAAACTGCTGGGATTACAGGCATGGGCCACTATGCCCGGCCTGTAATCCCATTCTATAGGTTGTCTTTTTACTTGTAGATTGTTTGCTGAGCAGAAGCTTTTAAGCTTGAGATTATCCTGTTTGTTTATTTTTGGTTTTGTTGCCTGTGCTTTTGATGTTTTATTCGTAAAATATTTTCCTAGACTTTTGAAGTATTCTCATAGCTTTCTAGTTTTGGGTCTTACATTTAGGTCTTTGATCCATTTTGAGTTGATATTGTATAGGGTGTGAGGTAAGGGGTCTGGTTTCATTTTTCTGTATGTAGATACTCACTTTTCCCAGCACCATTTATTAAAGAGGGTGTCCTTTCCCCAGTGTTCTTGGACCCTTTGTCAAAAATAAATTGGCACTGGGTGTGATGGCTCACACCTGTAATCTCAGCACTTTGGGACTCCAGGACAGGTGGATCACTTGAGCCTAGGAGTTCAAGACCATCCTGCGCAATGTGGCAAAACCCCATCTCTACAAAAAATTAGCCAGGTGGTAGCATGCCCTTGTAGTTGCAGCTCCTCAGGAGGCTGAGGTGGGAAGGAAGATCACCTGAATCTGGGAGGTTGAGGATGCAGTGAGCCGTGATTGCATCACTATACTCCAGTGGGGCAACAGAATGAGACTGTGTCTTAGGTAGATAGGTAGGTAGGTAGGTAGGTAGGTAGGTAGATAGATAAAGTAGCTTAATAACTTGATACTCTGTTCTGTTCCATTGGCCTGTGTGTCTGTCTTTATGCCAGTACCATGCTGTTTTGGTTACTACAGCTTTGTGGTTTATTTTGAAGTCTGGTGATGTGATGCCTCCAGCTTTGTTCTTTTTGCTCAGGATCGCTTTGGCTAGTTGGAATCTTCTGTGGTCCTATACAATTTTTAAGATATTTTTCCTATTTATGTGAATAATGTCACTGGTATTTTGATAGGGCCTGTGTGCATTTTAGCATGTTCTTCTGTCCTCTGTTCTCAGTCTTTTTCTGCAAATTGGTAAGTGGATTTAGAGACTTAATCAGATTTAAGTTTTATTTTTTGGGAGTAGTACAAGATAGTTTTATAGAAGCAAAGCAGTGAATGGTACCATACTCAAATATAGATACCTGTATTAGATCGTTCTCATGCTGCCATGAAGAAATATCTGAGATAAGTAATTTATAAAGGAAGGAGGTTTAATTGACTCACAGTTCTGCATTTCTGGAGAGGCCTCAAGAAACTTGCAATCATGGTGGAAGGGGAAGCAAACATGTGCTTTCTCACATGGCGTCAGGAAAGAAAGTGCAGAGTGAAGTGGGGGAAAGCCCCACATAAAACCATGAGATCTCTTGGGAACTCACTCACTATCATGAGAACAGCATGGGGGAACTACCCACATAATCTCATCACCTTCCGTGAAGTCCCTCCCACAACACGTGGGTCTTACTGGACCTACAATTGAAGATGCAATTTGGGTGGGGGCACAGCTAAACCGTATCAATACCTATGTTTTGTCGTTCTTATTGTTGTTGAAACAGAGTGTCACTCTGTCGCCCAGGCTGGTGTGCAATGGTGAGATCTCAGCTCACTGCAACCTCTGCCCCTTGGGTTCAAGTGATTCTCGTGCCTCAGCCTCCCGAGTAGCTGGGACTACAGGCGTGCGCCACCACACCTGGCTAATTTTTGTATTTTTAGTAGAGACAGGGTTTCACCATGTTGTCCAAGCTGGTTTCAAATTCCTAACCTCAGGTGATCCACCCACCTTGGCCTCTCAAAGTGCTGTGATTACAGGTGTGAGCCACCGCACCTGGCCATCAATACCTATGTTGGAACTATCGGGGAGTTTTATTTTTTTCTTTCTTTCCTGTCCTGTCCTTTCCTTTCCTTTCCTGTCCTGTCCTGTCACCCGGGCTGGAGTGCAATGGCATGACTCACTGCAACCTCCACCTCCCGGGTTCAAGCGATTCTCCTGCCTCAGCCTCCCAAGTAGCTGGGATTACAGGCACCTGCCACCACACCCGGCTGATTTTTGTATTTTTAGTAGAGATGGCATTTAGCCGTGCTGGCCAGGCTAGTCTGAAACTCCTGACCCCAGATGATCCTCCTGCCTCAGCCTCCCAAAGTGCTGGGATTATAGACTTGAGCCATTGTACCCAGCCAAGACCCTGTCTTTAAAAAAAAAAAATTAGCTTGCTTCTACCTTTTGGCTGTTGTGATTAATGCTTCTACCTTACTTTTTATAGTTACCCCATGCCCTGCAAATATGTTCATGCTTGACTTTCATTTCTTTAAAGATATTCTTTTTAGCATGTACAGCTGTGTGTGTGTAAAGAAAAAGGGGTATGTGGGAACAGTCTGTTCGTTCTTCACAATTTTGCAGTAAACTTCAAATTGTTCTAAAAAAATAAAATCCAGGAGTCTGAGTGTGGTAGCTTACACCTGTAATCTCAGCATTTTGGGAGGCTTAGTTGAGAGGATTGCTTAAGCCCAGGAGTTCAAGACCAGTCTAGGCAACATAGCAAGACCCTATTTCAAGAAAACAAAATTTTTTTGTTTTTTTAAAAAATATAATTAAATATTAAAATATTAAATATTAAATATTAAAATTTTAAATATTAAAAATTAAATAAAAAATTTTTAAAAGTATATTAAAATATGTGTGTGTGTATGTATATATATATGTGTGTATGTGTGTGTGTGTGTGTGTGCTTTAGCCTCAGTGCAGATACTCTGAAGCAAGAGATCAAGAATGAAATCAGGCCAGCAGGCCAGATACAGTGGTGCATGTCTGTAATACCACCACTTTGGGTGGCTGAGGCAGGAGGATTACTTGAGCCCAGGAGTTTGAGACTAGCCTGGGCAATATAGTGAGACCCTGTCTCTAAAAAATTAAAAATTGGCCGAGCACAGTGGCTCAAGCCTGTAATCCCACCACTTTGGGAGGCCGAGGTGGGTGGATCACCTGAGGTCAGGAGTTCAAGACCAGCCTGGCCAACATGGTGAAATCCCATCTCCACTAAAAATACAAAACTTAGCCGGATGTGGTGGTGGGTGCCTGTAATCCCAGCTACTAGGGAGGCTGAGGCAGGAGAATCGCTTGAACCCGGGAGGTGGAGGTTGAGTGAGCCGAGATCACGCCACTGCACTCCAACCTGGGCGACAGAATAAGACCTTGTCTCAAAAAAAATAATAAAAATAAAAAATTAGCCGACCATGGTGGTGCACGCCTGTAGTCTCAGCTACTCAGGAGGATGTGGTGGGAGGATTCCTTGAGCCCGGGAGTTCAAGACCAGCCTGGGCAACACAGTGAGACCTTGTCTCTTAAAAAAAAAAAAAAATTATCAGGACACACTGGTGAGCACCTGTGGTCCTAGTTGCCTAGTTGCTTGGGAGGCTGAAATGAGAGGATCACTTGAGCCTGGGAGGTCAAGGCTGCAGTGAGCTGTGGTTATGCCACAGCATTCCAGCCTGGGCGGCAGAGTGAGAACCTGTCTCAAACAAAAGAAAACTGTGTTAGGCCTGATGACTCCAGGGGGTACCCCTCAGCTCTGTATTTCCTGCCTAGAGCTGACCCAGCAGTACCCACCTCCAGTGGCTGGCCAATATTTCTGTCAGATTGGGCTGCTTATTATCTTTGAAGCATAGGTATTGTCAGTCTTGATGAGCTTATCTGTTTAATTTTGCTTGTATGTTAAAAGTATTTGCATCACATGCAGAGATAACTTTATTCTCTCCTTGCCTCCTTCCTCCTCACATTTAAGGTATTTTAGGGATGGTGCAGTTAAGAAACCTTATTCTGCAAAGACACTGTCCAACAAGAAGTCTTCTGCATCCTTTGGGATCCGGAGGGAGTTACCTAGTACCAGTCACCTAGTGCAGTATCGTGGCACACATACTTGTACCCGACAGGGCCGGTTAAGAGAACTGCGCGTCAGGTGAGCTTTTGAGTGGCCACCAGTCTACGGATACTTTTCTCTTGTTCTGCCTTCTTGGTTAAAATGAGGGAATGATTGTTATTCTCCCATCACAATTAGTTGGAGATCTTGATGCCTGTTCTTTATAGTAGAATGTTCAGATGAAAAGGATATTCAGGAATCTGCAGACATAAAATCTGTCATTGAGTGTTTTCATTTCTCCACTTGTGCCTCGCAATATGACGCTATCAAGATTCTTCCAGAAAAAGTCTAAACGTGTAAACGTGGTCCAAGAAAGAAGGAACTACTCTTTTTTGCTACTCTTTTTTTTTCCCCCTGGATTTTCTGGTGAATTCTAGAAGAGCTGTAACCCTTCTGCTACTCTTGATTAGGTATATTAAAGACATGCATTTCTTAATTCAAAAATTTATCAGGCCTGGTGCGGTGGCTCACACCTATAATCCCAGCACTTTGGGAGGCCGAGGCAGGTGGATCACCTGAGGTCAGGAGTTCGGGACCTCATCTCCACTAAAAATACAGCCGGGCACGGTGGCTCATGCCTGTAATCCCAGCACTTTGGGAGGCCGAGGCGGGTGGATCACGAGGTCAGGAGATCGAGACCATCCTGGCTAACATGGTGAAGCCCCATCTCTACTAAAAATACAAACAATTAGCCAGGCGTGGCGGTGTGCACGTGTAGTCCCAGCTACTCGGGAGGCTGAGGCAGGAGAATGGCTTGAACCCGGTAGGCGGAGCTTGCGGTGAGCAGAGATTGCGCCACTGCACTCTAACCTGGGCGACAGAGCAAAACGCTGTCTCAAAATAAAAAAAGACAAGCCACCTTTGTGTGTATACCAGGCACTGTGCTAGGTACTGAAGGTACTATAAAACACCAATTTTTGCTTTCAGGGGCTCACAGTGCAGAGGGAATGACAGACACCCTGTGAGCTGAGCACTGTGATATGGTGTCACATTACAGGAGGGGTTTGAGCAGAGTACTGAGAGTACACAGCTACTCACTCTGTTTACATTGGAGAAGGTTCAGGATTAGTGGGCATTTGCCAGGCATTTTAGGTAGGAAGAATAATATGAACAAAAGAATTATGATGTACTTCCTGTACCTCAGTTCTGAAGTTTTTATCTCTTCGTTGACAATTTATATTGAAAATATTTTTAAAAAATAATCTGCTTGATTTTAGCTTTATAAATCTCCCCCATCCTATGCCCTGTTTGATGCAAGATTAGCTATGATACCACCTTTTGACTCATACTAACGTCCCTCCCTCTGAGACCTTAAAGGCTTCCTTTCCTTTCCAGAAAACTGATGATGTAAGCCAAATGGAATTTTAAAATATGTATATCCTTTTTTTCCTTCTTTCAGATGCGTTGCCAGAAAGTTCTTATGTTTATGGATTCGAATGACTTTTGGAAGAGTATTTCCCTCTAAAGCCAGGTAGTATTAGCTCAGAACACCATAATTCTGTTGAGTTCATTCTAGGGTTTTCTTTTATTTTAAGCCTGTATATAAACTTCATTATGGCTTGTGCTGTTACATTCCTCCCTTGTTCCTCCCCAGAATCCAGTAGGCAGAAACAGTCCCTAATATAACCATGTACTGTAGTGGTAACTTCATACCTGTTAGTTGACTGCAGCTTTATTAGTGGTGAGCTGTGAATGTTATCTACAAAGTAGCCAGTGAAGGTTAAGTTTTAGTGTTCAATGTCCTGGCCTTTAGCTACTGTGGCCTTCAGCTTCAAAGAAAAAGAAAGAAAGAAAAAAAAAATCACAAGCAAGTGACCAAGTGAAAGAATCAGGCAGGGTGCGGTGGCTCATGCCTGTAAACCCAGCACTTTGGGAGGCTGAGGCGGGCGAATCACCTGAGGCTAGGAGTTCGAGACCAGCCTGGCCAACCTGGTGAAACCCTGTCTCTACAAAAATTAGCTGCGCAGCGAGGCACAGGTGGCTCATGCCTGTAATCCCACCACTTTGGGAGGCCGAGGTGGGCGAGTCACCTGAGGTCAGGAGTTCGAGACCAGCCTGACCAACATGGAGAAACCCTGTCTCTACTAAAAATACAAAATTAGCCAGGCATGGTGGCGCATGCCTGTAATCCCAGCTACTCGCGAGGCTGAGGCAGGGGAACTGCTTGGACCCAGGAGTCAGAGGTTGCAGTGAGCCAAGATTACGCCATTGCACTCCAGCCTCGGCAACAAGAACGAAAGGCCCTCTCAAAAAAAAAAAAAGGCCAGGCACAGTGGCTCACGCCTGTAATCCCAGCACTTTTGGGAGGCCGAGGTGGGTGAGTCACCTGAGGTCAGGAGTTCGAGACCAGCCTGACCAACATGAGAAACCCTGTTCTACTAAAAATAGAAAATTAGCCAGGCATGGTGGCGCATGCCTGTAATCCCAGCTACTCGTGAGGCTGAGGCAGGAGAACTGCTTGGACCCAGGAGTCAGAGGTTGCAGTGAGCCAAGATTACGCCATTGCACTCCAGCCTCGGCAACAAGAGCGAAAGGCCCTCTCAAAAAAAAAAAAAAGGCCAGGCGCGGTGGCTCACGCCTGTAATCCCAGCACTTTTGGGAGGCTGAGGTGGGCAGATCATGAGGTCAGGAGATCGAGACCATCCTGGCTAACACAGTGAAACCCCGTCTCTACTAAAAATACAAAAAGAAATTAGGTGTGGTGGCGGGCGCCTGTAGTTCCAGCTGCTCAGGAGGCTGAGGCAGGAGAATGGCGTAAACCCAGGAGGCGGAGCCTGCAGTGAGCCGCAATTGCACCACTGTACTCTGGCCTGGGTGACAGAGCAAGACTCTGTCTCAAAAAAAAAAAAAAAAAGATAATTAGCTGAGCGTGGTGGCATATGCCTGTAATCTCAGCTAATTGGGAGGCTGAGGCAGGAGAACCACTTGAACCCCGGAGGCAGAGATTGTGGTGAGCCGAGATTGTGCCATTGCACTCTAACCTGGGCAACAGAGTGAGACTGTCTCAAATAAATAAATAAATAAAAATAAGAATAAAAAAGAACCATACTTAAGTAAACCAGGATAGATAAGATCTCTTTGGGAAAAGTGTTTGCCCAAGAGAAGTAATTGAGCTCTTTCAGGGCACTGGTCAGACTGACAGATTGGCTTGATCAAGTGCAGAACCTGGGGGAAAAAATTGGCTTTAGCAAAGGAAGTGAAATTTTAGCAGCAAATCCCTCTGTCATAGCCTGATTTTGTATAGACCAATGCTGCCCATTGCTGTGGTTTTGGGTTATAATTGCTTTAGCTGCAGTGCTGAGAATGGACTGCAACAGAGAGTCACAGGAGTCCCCGTACAGAAGGCAGGGGAGCTGGAGAGAAGGGACCAGTGCAAGGTATGTTTCAAAAGGAGAATTGGCAGCCTTCGAGAGTGTAAGCACTTAAAAACTGAAATGTCTTGGGTTCCCTCCTGCTCCCCTCTTCCCCTTTTCTTTCCCTTGCTATAATCTTTCCTGTTTCATTTTTTGAGTCTGACTCCTTCATTCAATGTCTCTCAAGCAAACCTGGCCTGTGTGTGTTTTCTGAAATCTTTTCTTTGTATACTTTATGAGGATTCCTGCTGTTCCATCTGTTCCTTTTTGTATGTTTACAGTGAAGCTCCTGATGTGGCTATGTTACCGGCCAGGTCTAGGTCCATTCTGCCCATGCGTGGTAAATCAATCACTGTGACACAGGTTTTGCAAAAGAGAAAAAACTTACTTGCAAGGCCACTGAGCGAGGAGGTGGGAGAACGGGTCTCAAACCGGCCTCCCCAAGGATAAGCCTTAGGGATATTTGTGGGCTAGGGAAGTGGGGTGGTTTAAGGTGTGGGGTGGATTGAGGTGGATTGGCAGTGGGGATAATGAAGTAACATTCATTGTGTACAAGTGTAGTCAGGGTTCATGGCATGTCATAGAACACATGTACAGAAAATAGAGGCATTAACATGATCTGAGGGTGGAGTTTTTGGCCCTCAAGCATCAAAAGACCCTCTAGGGCTCCTTCACAGGCCCAGTTGAAGGGTTGGTGGTCTCCATCAGTTTGAACTGGGCAGGAGCTATCCCAGATTCCTGAGAAATAACTGAAGTGACCATTGCCATGGTGACCTGTGAATGTTATCTACAAAGTAGCCAATGAAAGTTAAGTTTAAGTGTTCAGGCTGGACATGGTGGCTCCCACCTGTAATCCTAGCACTTTGGGAGGCCAAGGCAGGCGGATTACTTGAGGTCAGGAGTTTGAAACCAACCTGGCCAACGTGGTGAAACTTTGTCTCTACTAAAAATACAAAGAAATCAGCCGGGCATGGTGGCGGGTGCCTGTAATCCCAGCTACTTGGGAGGCTGGAGCAGGAGAATTGCTTGAACCCAGGAGGCGGAAGTTGCATTGAGCCGAGATTGTGCCACTGCACTCCAGCCTGAGCAACAGAAAGAGGATCTGTCTCAAAAAAAAAAAAAAAAAAAAAAAAATAGTTGTAGTGTTCAGTGGTGTGGCCTTTAGCTTCAAAGAAAAAAAAAAAAAAAAAAAAAAAACAAGCAAGTGACCAAAAGCAAGCAGGGCAGCAGAGCTGATCATGTTAACCTCTTGTTTTCAGCTGTAGCCCATCCCAGCTGCAAGTGCTAGCCATCGTTCACCTCTATATTACCTTCTTCTCCTGGATCTTGGACATGTCGTCCTTCACTGCCTTGGTAGCTCTTTAGTGCATTAAATAAATTTTTTTTGCTCTGCTTTTTTGGTTGTTCATTGGGAAAATTGATCTAAATTGCTATTGTCAGAATTTTCTCATTTTTGTTTAATTCATTGCATATTTATTGACTTCTCCACTGTTAGCTTAGAAATTATATTCTCTTTTACTCTTCCTTTACTGACTGCCCTGATAAGTTACAAATGTGAATGTGTATTTTCATTCAAATATGAATGTATATTTGTAACTTACCAGAATCTAATGTTAATTGGTTTTTTACCCCCTTCCTAGATAAGACAGGGTCCTTAGAATACTTTAGCTCTGCCCATCTCCCTCTCTTTGTGTATATTTTTAAATCTATAAAGCATTATTACCCTCATTTTATTTTTTTGAGACGGAGTCTCACTCTGTCGCTCAGGCTGCAGTGCAGTGGCACAATCTCAGCTCACTGCAACCTCCGCCTCCTGGATTCAAGCCTCGGCCTCCTGAGTAGTTGGGATTACAGGTGCGAGCCACCACACCCGGCTAATTTTTGTATTTTTGTAGAGACAAGGTTTTATCATGTTGGCCAGGCTGGTCTCAAATTCCTGACCTCAGGTGATCTACCCGCTTCAGCCTTGCAAAGTGCTGGGATTACAGGCGTGAGCCACTGTGCCCAGCCTATTATTTTCATTGTGTATAGCCAATATTTATTTAGATTTATTCACATATTTACCCTATTTGCCCTTCCTTTTTCATTTATTTTTCTTTTTTTGCCCCAACATTACAACAAATATTTACCCTTTCTGTTGCCCTTTTTCTTCTCACATCTCCAGGTTTCTATCTGTGATAATTTTCCTTCTCCTGTCATTAGAAGGTCCAGAGTATTTTCTTTCAGGTAGGTCTGCTGGTGAGAAATTCTCTCAGATTTTGTCTGTCTAAAAATATTTTATTCCATCTTCACCTTTGAAGGATATTTTCACTGGGTATGGGAGTCTGGGCTGCTGGTTTTTTCCCAGCACCTGGAAGATATTCCATCACTGTCTTATGGCTTCCATTTTTAAGCTGTCAGTCTAATTTTTGCTCTTTTGAAGATACATTGCTTGTCTTAGTTTTCAGAAGCTTTGAATTTATTTTCTTATAATCTTTTATCTCGTTTTCAGATTATGAACAAGGTTTTTTTTTTTCTTTTTTGTGGACAAATCTTTCTGACATACTTGTGTTTATATGCATGTTATTCTGCTCCTTATCTTCTTTCCTCATGTAACTTCAAATGCTTTTTTTTTTTTTTTTTTCTTTCCTGAGATTGCATCTCACCCTGTCGCCCAGGCTGGAGTGCAGTGGCATGATCTCAGCTCAGTGCAATCTCCGCCTCATGGGTTCAAGCGATTCTCCTGCCTCAGCCTCCCACATAGCTGGGACTACAGGCACGCGCCACCATACCCAGCTAACTTTATTTTTAGTAGAGACCATGTTGGCCAGGCTGGTCTCAAACTCCTGACCTCAGGTGATCTGCCCAACTCAGCCTCCCAAAGTGCCAGGATTACAGGCATGAGCCACTGCGCCCAGCCTCAAATACTTTTTTATTTTTATTTTTATTCTTTTTTTCAGACAGAGTCTTGCTCTGTTGCTCACGCTGGAGTGCAGTGGTGTGATCTCGGCTCACTGCAACCTCTACCTCCCGGGTTCAAGCGATTTTCCTGCCTCAGCCTCCCTTGTAGCTGGGATTACAGATGCGCGCTACCACACCCAGCTAATTTTTGTATTTTTAGTAGAGACGGCGTTTCACC